TCTGAAATTGACTTAGGAGTGTCATCCACGAGGTACACAGTGAAATCATCACCAAAAGACTTAGCCGTCCTTTGTCTCTTACTCCTTCGAGGAGCTTCACTGACATCCTCCTCAGAGACAAGTTCATGTGTATGTTCAGTTTGTTCTGGTGGTGTGATTGAACTGGGAATTATTTCAGAGGGTTGGTTCGAACCACTATGTGTATCCTTCATTGGGAAAAAGCTCTCAAAGAAGGTAGCATCACGAGACTCCATAATTGTACCAACATGCATGTCCGGTACCTCGGATTTAACTATTAAAAATCTATAGGCAATGCTATGATGAGCATATCCCAGAAAAACACAGTCCACAGTCTTAGGTCCAAGTTTGCGCTTCTTCGTTATTGGTACATTGACTTTCGCCAAGCACCCCCATGTGCGCAAATAAGAAAGTGATGGTTTTCTACCAATCCATATCTCATATGGTGTTTTGTCCTTATTTCTGTTAGGAACTCTGTTTAACACATGATTTGAGGTCAACAATGCCTCCCCCCACCATGCCTTAGGCAGTCCCGCGGTGTCCAACATGGCATTCACCAAGTCAGTCAGTGTGCGGTTCTTCCTTTCAGCAATCCCATTAGACTCGGGAGAATAGGGAGGCGTCCTCTCATGTATGATGCCATGTTCCTCACAGAATAAGTCAAACTCGTTCGAGAAAAACTCTCCACCACGATCAGACCTAAGCCTTTTTATCTTTCTGTCAAGTTGATTTTCAACTTCTGCCTTATAAATTTTAAAATAGTCTAGAGCCTCGTCTTTCGTTTTCAACAAGTACACATAGCAAAATCTAGTAGCATCATCAATCAATGTCATGAAATATCGTTTTCCACCCTTCGTCAACACCCCATTCATTTCACAAAGATCTGAATGTAGGAGTTCTAGTGGTGCCAAGTTTCTCTCCTCGGCAGCCTTGTGAGGCTTGCGAGGTTGCTTCGATTGCACACAACTATGGCACTTAGAACCTTTGACAATGGAAAACTTAGGAATTAAACACATGCTGGAAAGCCGAGACATCAAGCCAAAATTAATATGACATAAACGTGAATGCCAAACATTAGCCTCATCATCCACACTGCCACAAATATGGTTCACAGACTTATTGCAGAAATCAGAAAGGGAAAAGCGGAACAGGCCTCCGCACTCATAACCTTTACCAATAAAATATCCATGTTTAGACACGACTACTTTATTAGACTCAAAAACCAACTTAAATCCGTCTCTAGTCAGACGGGAGCCACTAACAAGATTCCTGTCGATAGAAGGGACATGCTGCACGTTCTTCAGCTGCACGATCTTTCCCGAAGTAAACTTCAGATCTACCGTGCCAACACCATGAACAGAAGCATGTGACCCATTCCCCATTAGGACGGTGGAACCCCGTGCGACCTGATAAGAAGAAAACAATGAGATGTCAGCACAAACATGTACATTGGCCCCAGTATCAACCCACCAATTAGTAGATTGATTAACTGAAAAAACAGTAGGTAAATTACCATACCCGCTTCCATCTCCAGTGTTGCCAATGGTCACATTAGCAGACTTAGAAGTCTGCCCTGCAGGTGCCTTCATCCCCTTGCGTTGTGGACACTTCCTAGCCAGATGACCAACTTGGCCACACACAAAGCAAGTCCTCTCATCCTGATTAGGATTGTTGTTGTTCTTCTTCTGCTTCTTGAAGTTGGTGGTCTGCTGAGCTTTGTATTTCCCCTTGCTCTTGTTCTGGGCCTTGTGCACAACATTGGCACTGGACTGCCCACCATCGCCCTTAGACGCGGCATCTTTTTCCCGAGCTTTCTCCTCAACATCAAGAGACGCAATCAACCCCTCAACGGAGTATTCCTGTCTCTTGTGTTTGAGTGCAGTACCGAAACTCCTCCAAGATGGAGGTAGTTTTGCAATAATGCACCCGGCCACAAATTTGTCGGGTAAGACACACTTAAGGAGTTCGAGTTCCTTAGCCATGGTTTGTATCTCATGAGCCTGTTCGACTACAGAACGGTTGTCAGCCATTTTGTAGTCATGAAACTGCTCCATGATATACAGATCATTGCTAGCATCAGTAGCACCGAATTTAGTATTCAGTGCATCCCACAACTCCTTAGCGTCGGTCATATGCATATACACCTCGACCAGACGATCGCCAAGAACGCTAAGAATGCATCCCACAAAGAGAGTAGTGGCTTCCTCGAATTGCTTCTGCTGTTCAGCAGTAAGAACTCCTTCAGGTTTGCCAGTACTCACCCAGAAGCATTTCATAGCTGTCAGCCACAGAGTGACCCTGATCTGCCATCTCTTAAAATGCACACCGGTGAATTTATCCGGCCTCAGTGCATCGGCAAAACCAGCCATAGTAAAATCACAGTGCCTATAATAAGGTTTTTGGATTGTTGAGATTATGGGCATATAATGATTTAATTTATTCCATAAATAAATCATGACATTACAGATGAAAACTAGCATGAACGCATCATTAGATCTACACATGTAAACTATGCAGAATAACATGAACAGATCAAATATGCGCAACATATTGAACACGTACCGAGGTGACGAAAAGACCGGCTGCTTGGTCGAAACTTTTCGCAGGTGTCTACGAAGGCACGAAACACGCGAGCGAAGAGGAAGGCGAGCCGTCGCGAACGAACAGAGAGCAGTCGCGCGAAGCGCTTCCCAAAAACCTTATTGCCGCCTTCTCCCGGTGCAGGACGTCAAAGGCAGAGGTTCCGGAGACCTGCTCTCCCGATCGCTGGTGCACGCCGGCGAGCGGGATGGAGTAGTCTACGAGCGACGGCGCAGTACAGAGTAGGAGGCAAACCCTAGATTGATTTTCGCATATATTGCGTGAAGACGTCGGGTCGGTTTATATAGAGAAGGGTCGCTTGATCAGGGCGCCCGCACGATCTCTACTGCGCGTAACCGAACCGGATAAGTCGCGCGTAACTTATCCGGACTCCACGCCGTTTGCACGCATCGGATTTTTCGGAACGTTTCCAAAACAAAAACGAATCCGAATTTGCAGCAAAACAAAACTGCAAAAGGAGGCTGCATCTGCGTAAGGGTGAGGAGCCAATTTTTCGGACCATTCGACGCGTACGTCGTGCACGCGCGCCCTGCCCTGCCAGGCCAGGCGAGGCGAGCGAGCGCGCGCGTGTGTTTCCCCTCTTCTCTCCACCACACATGCTTCAAGTGGCTAGGAGGGCATCCTCCCTTTTAAGGAGGTCCCCCTCTCCTAGAATAAGCAAGGTGGTACTAAACTCCACATGCATGCCATCCCATGAGGTGGGCTTTTGTGATTTTCCAAAGAATTAATCTTCGAGTGGGCTAAGGCCCATTCATTAATTCCAACACCTGCAGCATGCGGAGGACGGCCTCCTCGGCACCCGGGTGGGAGAGGGGAGAGAAGCCGCCGCCGCCGCTCGCACCCGCCCCTGCGCCGCCCTGCCTCGCTGCAGCCGCCTCACCTCCTCCGCCCCCGCGGCTCGCCTCGCCGCCGTGCTCGCCTCTCCGCCGCCGCGCTCGCCTCTCCGCCGCCGCGCTCGCCTCTCCGCCGCCGCGCCTCCTCCTCCGCCACCACTGCGCTCGCCTCTCCGCCGCTGCCTCGCCTCCTCCACTCCCGTCGCTCGCCTCTCCGCCGCCGCCTCACCTCCTCCGTCCCCGCCGCTCGCCTCGCCGCCGCGCCTTCTCCTCCGCCGCCGCGCTCGCCTCTCCGCCGTCGCCTCGCCTCGTCCGCTCCCGTCGCTCGCCTCGCCGCCGCCTCGCCTCCTCCGCCCCTACCGCTCGCCTCTCCGCTGTCACGCTCGCCTCGCCGCGCCGCTGCCTCCGCTGTCGCCGTCTGAAGGAGGAGAGAGAGAGTGTGTGAGATAGAAGAGAGAGACTGACAGGTAGGGTCCACCTATTTTTTAATAAATAAATTACTGACACCGTCACGTAGACCAAAACCACCCCAGATTGGGTTGAGAGGGGTAATTCGTTCGGTTTGCATAGTTGGAGGTGAAGAATGTCCGGTTTTGTGGTTTAGGGGTGTAATTCGGACGGCCGCGATACTTTGAGGGGGTAATTCGTACTTTTTCCTAACCAAAATGGTGAAAGAGAGAAAGAGAGGGGAGAGAAGAAGCTACTAAAACAACGAAAACATCCAAGGCGGATAATGTCTTTTAGTATTGTGGTGGTGGATTAAGATGATCTCGTTTAGCAACTTTAGAACACTTTGGTTTTTGGTATTCATTTATTTAAATATATGTACGCAAAATGGTAATATCTTATACTATAAAGATATATAACAATTAAGGAAAAATATGACAGTTGGATAATAACATACTCTCTCCATCTACTTTTGATAGTCATATTTCATCTTAACACACAGACCAAGGATAAATAATTCTACTTATCATCCATTTAAACATGCTACTAGTCATTCCTCGTAAACAAACGATTCATTAATATTTATATTTCTCGATGCCCATGTAGCCAATCTTGTGTGGGAGAATAGAGAGTCACGCATTAAATCCGAGAAAGTCATTAAGATGATAGGTTGTTGGATTGAAATACACCTATCGAAAATAAATTTCTCAGATTTGAAAATATGACTATCAAAAGTAGATGGAGGAAGTATTTTTTTTAACTATTATTCAACTCAAAAAAAATCTAACAATTAGTAGTACAAAGTTTTTGTTTCACAATAACATAAATGATAAGTAAAGTATCGACATTTATGAAAATGTGTTTGGGTAGAAATTAATTATGTGATAAATTGAACTTCAGATCTTCCTATATATTGAGCGTATGTTTTAGTGTCTGAACAAGTCATCACATAAATACTCTATTCCGGCCGTATGCATTTTGTCTCTCGCCTGTTCAATCACACCAAAAGTTGATAAGTATATTTTGTTGGATTTTATTGTTCCTGGCAATGATTCAATTGCTCTTGTCAAAAATTGCATCAACAATTAATTCAACAAACGCTACAATTTGATTTTCAGCAGGCTTTTATTAGTTTCCGTTATCATTAAAAAATTGTGTCTTTGAGCTGCCAACTGTCTGAGATCTTTCTCAAAATTTACCATTTGACTGCTAAAATATTTTTTGGCAACACGAAAAAAATAATGAAAATTAGCAACAAAAATTAGAGATCGACCGCCGTTTTCTTGAATTTACGACCGACCGTAAAATCGAATTCCTACATCAAAACCAGTCCAAAAGATCTGCCCAGTCCGTCATGCTGCACTCTACAAGCTCCTCATCGGTTCCTCTCTGCCTCTGCTGCTGTTGCTGCAGCATAGAGCCATCGCAGCCGCCATTGTCGTCGCTGGATGAGGTGCTGTCAAGGCTGTCATCTGGCGCGCTCCTTTTCCTCTTCTGACTCTTCCCGGAGGATTCAGCAGCATCCTCGTTGGCAAACGCAGCCGCGGTGGATGACGGCGCCGCCCGGTTCTCGCCGCCGCCGCCTGCCACCGAGGAGCTCGGCGGCCGGCGATCGAACTGCCGGGGGCACCCTGACCTGGTGTACAGCCGGCACAAGCTGAAGTCACTCCTCGTCTGCGAAATTAACAAGCACAAATTAACGTTTTATATTCCAAGTTGTAGTTTCCCTCACGGCTCGTGCGTCTACAGTAGCTAGCCGCCTCTCATCACGATCACCATTGCAACTAGAGCATAAAGGAGTATGTTTTGTTTTGGAATGAGAAATGATTGAAGTTGCAACTTGACCATGATGTTAGGTTTGTTATATAGGACTTAATTCCATATCTAAAAAAAATAGGATAGGATAAAAAAAAAGAGGCATCTCTAAGTTCAATTTACCTGGAGATAATGGTTCTGTGCCGGAGCAGCGGCGGCTGCGTTGTCGTCGTCTTCCTCGAAGGCCCTGTACTCGTTCATCTTCCACTTGGTCTTGGCCCCCGCCGGCGCGCGGCCGCGGTAGAACACCATGGTCTTCTTGGTGCCGATGGGGCGGCCGTCGGAGGAGTAGACCCACCCCGGCGTGCCCGCGGCCTTCCAGTACCCCGACGGCGTCGTGCGGCTCGGCCGCCCGCCCCGCGCCTCCCGCTCCTGCCGCGGGCAGAAGTAGAACCACGGCTCGCCGTCGCCGGTCCACGCGCCCTGGTGCGCCTCTGCACAACGTAATCAAGAACGACCCCCGTTAGCTAGCGGCGGCGCGAACACGCATTGCACGGCATACGCAAGGTGTAAATACAATTAGCTGCAAGGACGACGACGACGACGATCAACGTGCCTGGGAGCTGCCATGGATCGAGGGAGCAGACGTCGGCGACGGGGATGACGCGCTCGATGTCGGGGACGCGTCGGCCGCCGTCGAGCTTGTGCCGGAGGTAGAAGCACACCAGCTCCTCCTCAGTGGGGTAGAACCGGTACCCCGGAGGCAGCTCTCCCATGTCCGCCGCTGCCCGATCGATCGATCGATCTCAATCCACCCCGTGTGCGGCCGGCCGGCGATGGATCGATGTACGGTGGGCGTCTCTCTCGTGGTGGGTAGCAAAGGCTCGTATATAGAGTGATGAGTACTGGCCGCGAGGCTATATAGGATGCTGGGGGGGGGGGGGGGAGGTGTGGTCGTCTGTTGACATGGCGATCGGTATAATTTGCGCGGCTTAATTGGGGAAGAAATTTTCAGCAGATGGTCGTCGTGGAAACCAAGTTTTTTTTTTTTTTGGAGTGTTGGGGGTCGCATACTTGCATGGTGCGGTGTAGTACTACACTACTACGACGTGTGTAGTGACCGTGGCGGGAGGAGGGAGGAGGACTGGGTCAGTCTTATCGTTCTCTGAATTTCTTTTGTTAATAACTAGTCATTCCAACCCCTTGGATTAGGGCTTTATAACGATTGACGAATTTAAGCTCGATCGGTTGCTTTCGCCCTTCGCTATCCTTGCTGCACTGTGACATCAGATGGTCGACGCTGCTTGTGGCACTGCCCGCCACTGCCGCACTGGCATCGCAGGATCAGTAAACATGAGGACAAGCGAATTCGATTTTTGTGGTGTGCCTTTTTACAGTTGGAACAGAAAGTGTAAAAAGAAAAAAAACAGAGACATCCAAATATTTTTCATACTAATTAAATGTATAGTGGCCGTGTTTAGTTACTTTTCAAAAAAAAAATTATGCATACGGACATACATTTGAAGTATTAAACGTAGACTAATAACAAAACAAATTACAGATTCCGCCTATAAACTGCGAGACGATTCTATTAAGCCTAATTAATCCGTTATTAGCGAATATTTACTGTAGCACCATATTGTCAAATCATAGCGTAATTAGGCTCAGAAGATTCGTCTCGCAATTTACATGCAAACTGTGCAATTAGCATTTTTGGTCCACACTCAATACTCTATGCATGTGTCTAAACATTTGATGTGACGAAAAAGTTGGAAGTTTGAAGGGAACTAAACACAGCCAGTGTAGGGCTAAGCAAGGACTCAATTAGTTTTTCTTTCCAGAATTTATATTAATATTGATCTAATTAAGATGATTTTAACATGGAGGTAATAAACCTAAGGCTCATCACTTGCCCTAGACATGTCTCTGCCCTTGATTGTACCATCTTGATCGATATGGACGCTCCAAATGGGAATGGGTTCATAGATAAACAATGGAATGAAAAATATAAGCCAATGTTTGGTTTAATGTCAAAATCGGCATTTATAAAATTTTGGTATTATCATTTTTTTATATCTCAAAAAAAGTTATTAATAATTTTTGGGTAAGCTTGAAGTTTGTGATAATATTTGTGGTTTGATGTCTTACCAAAATTTGCAGCTTCACTGAATAAGTTACACCCTAGGACAGAAAAGTCACAGTATAAGCAGTGCGCTAATATTTTTTTTTTCGAACGGTCAGGCCGTTGCAGACGTTTTATATAAAAAAGAAAGTGTCCCATTTTAAGGAGAAAACGGGACCAAACCTTACAGTGCACAGTTAATTAGGAAAAATTAGGCGAAAACCACTACTACAACCACAATTTAACTACTCAAGCTGCCAAGACTACAAAGAAACAGACGCTGAAAAAGTGCTCGTCGTAAAGCGACACAAAGACTTTGACTTCGCGAGATAAGTGTTATCGTTGACGAGCTTGTCACCTAGCGACACAGTAGCTCCAACTCCACATCTATCGCATCATCATTGCCAAATGCATCGCCAAAATGAACAAACAACACCGACAACCAACTTTGAGCATTAACCCAAGCCACCAAAGCACCACTTCTCGCGTACAGCAACCACCAGCATCCTTAGAAGACTACAACGTGTTATCGTTGCCGAGCTTCATCGCACCACAACGAAGCAGCTTTGATTTCACCTAGCAGAAACGAAGAAAGCTAGGCGCTCGCCACATCCAAGAAATGGAACCCAGAAGGCGAAGGCCTCGCTGAACAGCTAGGCCTATAGAGTTTCAACCCAGGAGTTCACTAACGACTATCGTTGCACAGACAAGATTCTTGGCAGTGAGGGAGAAAGGATGCCATAACAATGCTTCCAAGGAGGAAAACGACGTCTAAGGGCGTCGTCGCATCAAGCCAGCTAAGGCTTTCGCCAGCGATTTTCATCCAAAACTACACAACCCACCCGCACAACGAACGTCGCCGGACCACCGCATTGTCCCTCTAGCCATCAAGCCTAGCCCACCAACCACAACACAGGCAAGCTCACGAGACCGCCATGCCGCTGCCATCCTCTGTTGCATAGAGCCATCCCCTCCACCCTTCTCCAAGAGCTTCCCACGACCAGAACAGGAAATCCAGCCATAGGAGAGGAGGAGCTCCACAAGAGGATATTGGTCGGCCGGCAATTGAGAAGACGGCGCCACTGCTGCCAGCCGCTTGAGGCCTGTCACTGGTCACTGCTGCTACTCACGCGCGATGCGTGCAGCCGCTGCCACCCGCGGGAAGCCGAAACCAACCGGGAGGAAGCCGGAGACCCACCTCGCAGCCTCCACCAATGCCCCGCTGCCTCCACGTCCGCGTTGCTGCCTCTACGTTGGCATCGCCTTGCTGTCGCCCGAGGGAGGCTGGATCCAGGTGGGAGGAGGACGGGAGAACATCCCCGCCGCCTCCACCGTCGCCATGGCGCCACGACGCCCGCGCCGTCGCTCGCGGGAAGCCGAATCCAAGCGGAAGGAGCCCGGAAGACACACCTCATCGCCTCCACCATCGCCTCGCCGCCTCCACTGTCACCCCACCGCCTCCACACTGCCGCACCCCACCGCCTCGCCGCCGCTGTCGGCTCGAGTGCCGGCCTCCTGTGCCAGGGAGGCCGGATGCTGATGGGAGGGGCCGGATCTGGCGGGGGACACCAGGTCCGGCACCGCCACCTCGCCGTCACCACCCTGGTCCACCTAGCTGTTGACACTGCCTCTTCGACGCTGGTGGCCAGTCTGCCGCCACCGCAACCACCGTCACCCCGAAGCTCGAGGTCGTGGGCTCTGACCCCGCGACCTCGGGGAAAAAGGAAGGCCCCACCACCGTCGTCTTTGCATCCACGCGGTTTTCGTCGCCCCGCTTGGGCGGCGGCAAGGCGGAGGAGGGAGGAAGCTGGGTGTGTAGCGCGGCAGCGGTGGTCGCCGCTCGTGTCGCCCCTGCCCCTAAGCGACACGGGGGATAGAAGGGTAACGATTCGGCGAACAGTCGTGATGATGTTTATGAACTTTGGTTGCAAATACTCGGTCTTTTTTGACTTATGTAAAAATTTGAGTACCTTTATGATATTCTACTGTAAGTATATTATCACCGATAGAAGTAGTATTAAACCTTAATTTATGAACTTTCTACTATTAGTAGAAATTATTCTACCACCAGTAATGCAGTAGTACAAATATATACCATCTGGAATAAATGGTTTAAATTAATTCTAATATTAATATAGACAGTTGTAAAACACCTCATAAAAATATATGTTAACTTAATTATTTCAATAAGCCATAATGGTTTGGTTGGTTCAGGCTATGCTCTTTTTTCTGATTCTGAAATTTGAATTCTCGTTTGCACGCCTACTAAGTTCCTAAACAACAGTGTGTTTCATATAAAAATGACTTATATAAAATTCCATGGTTTGATTTCAAAAATAACATTTTAATTTTGTAGCTGTCAATTCATGCATTTATACCCTCATATAGTCATTATAGAAATCAGATTATTTAATAATGGCCATCAATTTCAGATATTCAAACGGCAATCACTTAATCCATCGATTTCATCTATGTTGCCACAGTATCATTCGATGCTTCGATCGATCACTCTGTGTGTGTGTGTGTGTGTGTGGGTGTGTGTGTGTCAGCTGATCCGGTTTGTGCGGATAAATAGTTTTGCCACCCGTAGCTATTTATTGGGTTGAGGACTTGAGGCGCCATCAAACAGTTGGTGTGTTAATTATTATTTCCTCCGTTTCAAAATATAACAACTTTTAGCTATTAAGATTTGTCCCAAAATATAACAATTTCACCACCAACATTTTTTTCTCACCCAATCACAACACTCTACCATTCACTTTTCTCACCTATCTCCACTACTAATTCAATCACAACTCTTCACCATTTATTTTTACCTATTTTCTTAATTACCATGTTTAACTCTAAAACTTTTTATATTCTGGACTGAGGAGTACTAAATCTGCTGCAACAAACAGCCCGCAAACATATTCTGGACAGAGGAGTACTAAATCTGCTGCAACAAACAGCCCGCAAACTTGTTGATTTCTTGACTGATTCAATGATCCATAGTAGAGATACGGTTTGTGACCTGCTAATCAAGATCTTGCCGTACAGCAGCAAAGAGCAAAAGAGAATGACACGAGATCAAATGCACTAGTGCTAGCCTGCTAGGGTGCGAGTAGACCGCTACCCATTGAAAGAGACGTCACCGAATTCCGACACACAGACCGACCTCGGTAGGAATATTTGCCAAATTTGACTTTAACGGATTTAATTTTAGCCACTGATTTTTTTAAACTCTAGAAAAGTGAATATTGGTGAAATACTTTTGTCTAACAATGACACTTTGATGCATCATAATCATAATATATTTCAAAATTATAGTTGATAAAATCATATAATCGGTCGTTGAAGCTAATATATATATATATATATATATATATATATATATATATATATACATACATACATATATATATATACATACATATATATATATATATATACATATATATATATATATATACACACACACCGACCAAGTGTCCGTTTTCATTTGCATGTTTTCTTTAACCAGGGGAAAAACTATATATGGTCATTTTTCTATGGTATGCGACTATCTTACCCTTGGTGTATTGCTTTTTGTGTATGCAAGTCAATGATAAGAAGTACTATTGCTTTGTGCGCTAATTGTTAATGTGTTATAGGGTCTAACTGACAATTATGTAAAAATGAAGGGAATAATTATTCTTTTTTACATCAGAATTATTTTCTGATGGGGTTGAATACTTGAATCCTTAGCATAAGTTTCATAAAGGCAAAAACTACATGGTACATGTTACCAAATCTTAAATCGCCAACT